GCGGGAGCGGGCGGCTGTGGGGGAGGGAAGCGGGTTCGGGTTTGTTTGGACGGTGTAATTCTAACGAACGTGCTGCTGGACTGCGGCCGCTGTTATCTGTTGCGCTCTGGGCTTTTGTCTCCGCTGCGTGTTGTGCTTGCGGGAGAGGCGCCTGGTGGTGTCCCTGCCGCTGTGGGGTGTTTTGAGTAGTGGCTGCTGCGGAGCGGGGTGTAGCCCGAGCGAGTTTAAAACAACCCAACTAGCTGGAGTCTCTCTAAAGTCTAACGAACGTGCTGCTGGACTGCGGCCGCTGTTATCTGTTGCGCTCTGGGCTTTTGTCTCCGCTGCGTGTTGTGCTTGCGGGAGAGGCGCCTGGTGGTGTCCCTGCCGCTGTGGGGTGTTTTGAGTAGTGGCTGCTGCGGAGCGGGGTGTAGCCCGAGCGAGTTTAAAACAACCCAACTAGCTGGAGTCTCTCTAAAGAAAGAGCGAGGTGTCTTGAGGCTTTCCTACCGGGGGCGGGGGACTTGCTGGCTTTGGATTAGGCCATTTCCGAATATGCAGCGTGTTGTGGGAGAGAGCTGATCCTTCTGAGGGGAGGCGACCAGACTTGCACTCTTCTTCTCTCTCCTCTTCTCCTCTCTCCCCCCCCCCCCCCCCCCGGCTTATGTAAAACTTAAAAATAAAAGTTCAGGCATCTTTTACGTTCATAGTTTCGGGCTTTTTGCCCAAACTGAGGTGTTAACGATTTATTAAAAACACTGGCCATTCTTGGGACAGCGATGCCTTAAAACAAATCAGAAATCTTAATTTTGTTTCTTGGCTCTTTCCTTAAAAGAAACTTGATACACTAAAAAAAACCACTGGTAGTGTCTCTACTCTTTTTTTTTTTTTAAGTGAAAAGGTGGCTTTCCGTACGATTTTTGGAGGAAAAGCCCTTCTATGCAATTCTAACTGCGTAGGGAGATTTTTTTGGGGGGGGGATAGCAACACTGAATCAGTTGTAAACGCTGGCTGTATTTTCTTGATCTCTTCTGTGTGGGTCGTCTCTTGTTCCCGTGCTTCCTATCTTCCAGACATCTGTGGTCCTCCCCTCCCCCAAGTATGCAAGTGGTGACTGGAAAGAGGCTGGGCTGGTATGCTGAGGTCGGTGGAAGGAAGTCAAGGAGGGGTTTCAGTAAAATGGGGACTCTGAGAGTATAGTAGGCTCAGATTAGAAACTGTCCCGAATGAACAGGACCGCTTCCTCTGATCTTAAAGTTGCTTGTATTCTGTATTAGGATTTATCTCCTTTGGGCTGGCATGTGAAGTCCTATTTGGCCAAGTTACCCACCTTAGATTCTGTTAGTTAACTAGTAATGTGTTGAATGCCTACAAATTTAACACACTTGTCTTAGGCAGTTAAAATCTTTATCTAAAGACACTAGTCTGTGGATCCCATTGGCATCAATGGCAGATGCTGGATGCTTGGCGCTGTTGAAAAATAAAATTTTAGATACCCAAATCAGCTTTAAGAGCTGAACACCCTGAAATTTCACCATTCTATAAATTGCATTAATATACTGTTAAATGTATACTTTGATTTGAGGAGCCTAGTGTTTGACTGCCATTTTTTAATACAAACAGTCTTCAAAAATGTAGAACTGAAGAGACTTGTAGGCTGGCTATAGAGGTTGCTCTGACACAACAGTTAATGTTAATTTACTGCACAACTTGTGCTTCATGACTTCAGTAGAATCTACATCTTGTAGCCAATTCAGAGTGGCTTCAACTATTTCCTATTGCCTCAAGTGTCCTAAGCTTTTTGACTTGAGCTATTTCTACTTTTAAGGCATGTAAGCAAGATTTTTTTTTTTTTTTTTTTTTTTTTTTTTTTTGGAAGTGTCTCTTTACAGAACTCAAGACTTTCATCTGGTTATGCGGTTCTAATTCAGGGTTTAAAAAATAGGGTTGTGTAACTGTGGCTGGGTAGCTAGCATTTGTCACTTCTGTGTGTTAGTTGCTGTCATTTGTAAGGTAACTTAGTTTTACAAATTAAGTGCCTGCTGCCCTGGGCTAGAGCAGGTTTATCAAGGAAAACTGTCATCATAAAGAGTGGGTGAGGCAAAGTCCTCCTTTTAAACTTGTGAGATTTTCTTGATATGCTGATCTGACTGGATACTGTCATCCACTTCTTAGAATAGTGTTAACTGAATAGATCAGATCTTATAAATGTGCCACATTGAAGAATAGCAGTATTACAGTAATTCACAGCTTTATAAAAACCTGCAAAGTATTTCCAGTGCCTGCTACACATTCTACTTCTCCCTCTTCCCCTTCATTATATCAACTTCCATGTGGGAGAGGTTCAAAACCAGTTGACCTGCTTTCTTGAGTGATTCATGCAGTGTTAACTTTCTCTTCAGTTTT